GATTTATAATTGTGAGTTACTGCTTTTAGACAAATATATTGGTATCAATTCTTGTATATTGAAACAAAGTTAAATTATATTGACTATTGTATGCATGCATGTTTCTATGTCTGTTTAAAACATTTTTATGTATTGACATATATTGTATTGAAATATATATTGTATATATTTACCATATTGCAATGTACATTTCTACCTCTGATTAAGATACTTATATAATGTTTGTGTATTGATATATATTTGCCATATTGCAATGTATATTTGTACAGTGTTTATATTTGGAGGTCATTATCCTCATTTGTTACACAGTTGTTTATTGTCTTAGTCTTTAAGTTAGATAGATATTGAGAATTATATAGATAAATAGTCATCTAAGTTTGTCATTTATAATCAGACTAATCAGGTTCTTTAGATATATAGAGATTATACTCAGTATAGATAGATAATCTTCAATCTCTTCAAAGAGCTGTAGAAAATGGCCTTTAATCTAACTCAGAGTTTTGTGATAGTGAGACACAATTGCTCCTGGCAACACCGCTCTATTCCCGAGAGAATGTTGAGCACCAAAGACACTCCACCTGGAGCCTTTCTATTTGGCAGAACTGGCCTTTGGGCAAAGAAATGCCCATACCGCAACCACTGACACAGATACAGAGCGTGCATCAATGGATAAAACAGGACTGTCATATCCTGCCAAGACAGGGTAAGATAGTTTTGAAAAGTTCCTTGCCTTTAATAATGGTATGTCAGTTATGTTAGGCCTTAGCCAAAATTGGTTGACTCAACATTGCAAACGAGACTTTGGGTGATTGCCCAGGTAGTCAGTTGTCTCTGTCAATTGTTGCACATTTTGGATATATCTCGTTTGTTGAGTAGTGTTTATTCCCTTCTCAGATCTTTGACTGAGTTGAAGATTATATAATTGTAGTTACTCTTTACATTATTTGGACTCCTTGAGATAGAATATTTAGCAAAGCTTTTGTTCTCAATATTGTTTGTTATATTTATTATTTGTTGTTATTGTATGTAGTTGTATTTGGTTTAGTTCTGTCTTATTTAGACAAAAAGGGGAGATGTAGGGATAAGTCCCGCCCCTTAGGGGGTGTGTTCGCCTCGGGCTAATGTCTGCCTATAAATTTGGCGAGTGTGCTCCGAGCTGTCTCTTCTGCTTTCCTGGTCTCCGCGGGAACGGTGGTTCTGTAAGTCTATTTCTACATTAAAACTATATATATTTTTACAATCTGTCTGCATTCGTTTACGCCGCTACACTTGAGGAAATGGTTTAGTCGAGATGGAGGAAGGACGGATATGAGAGCAAGGAAAGAGATATCTTGATTGAGGGAGTCATTATGGAGTTAGCAAGAAACCTGGCCCTAGAAAAATGCCCAAGAATCCGCAGGGGTGACCCCAGCTAAGACCCTAAGCAATAGAGGAGAGGGTGTCTGAACTGGCCTTACCCTGTAGTCAGACTGATGATTATCTTAAATATCACCATAGAACCTTTGTCCAACAACAGATGGGAACAGAGGCAATGACCCACATTGGAGAACTGGACTGAGCTCCCAAGATCCAGTTGAAGAGTGGAAGGACTGAGAGTATGAGCAAGGAATTCAAGACCATGAGGGGGTCATCCACTGAGACAGTTTGCCTGAGCTAATGGGAGCTCACCAACTCCAACTGGACTGGGAGTGAGCGAGCATGGGGACAACAAGCCCCTCTGAAGGGGGTTGACACTTGTGGCAGACTGAGGGGCCACTGATAGTGACACTGAGATGTGTCTCTACTGCATGTACCAGCTTCTTGGGATCCTATTTCCTATGGATGTAAACCTTGCTCAACCTAGATGTAGTAGGGAGGGCCTTGGACTTTCCACAGGGTGGGGTGCATGGCACTCCCTTAGGGTTGGAGGGGTGGGATAGGAGGGTCTGTGGAGGGAGAGGGAGGGAATTGGGAGGAGGGGAGGGAGTAGGAATTTGGATTGGTATTTTTTAAGTAATAAAAAAATTTTAAAAAATAGCAAAACAATAAAAAATATGGTTTCATAGACTCTCTTCACTATTATAAAACATCTTCACTGGAATAAGTGAAAAGATTTGTGTTCACAAAAAAAAATCTCACAGTGAGGTGTCCTAATTTTACATACCTTTAGTGCTCATAAACAATGTATCTAACCATCCATATAACTATCCAATTATATAAACATAATAAAATTGTTTGACAGTAATAATACCATAGTTAACAACACTAGCCACAACATCAATACTAAGAAAATATGAATGGTATGGACAGGAAGAGTAAGAAAGCTATTCAAGCACCCTAAAGTCATAATCTAATCTAATAGACACCATAAAGAACTGTCCTAGCAGAGAGAATAGTCAGCGCATACATACTAAATTCATACAACAACTATCACATACTAAGTGCCTATTAAAGGCATATTTTTCTATTAGATATATCCCTAAAAGCAAGTGTGCAAGGTGCATTTACAATTCTACTTAAAAGAGTAGTGATCTGAGGACAAGACAACATAGTGTCCTGCCCAAAATTGCACGGCAGGTCTACCTCACTTCAATTGTGCATGTGCGAGCATGTGTGTGTCAGAGGGAGAGTCAGAAAGAGGGAGACGGAGACATGATCTCACTATCTAGTCCTTGATGACCTGAAGCTCACAGAGAGCTTCATGCCTCTGCTTTCCGGTGCTGGGATTAAAGGTACATGCCACCATACACAGATACCACCACTACTTTTTTTTTTTTTGTAGTAACTGTTTATACAGCATTTATTTTGAGTTAGGAATCTTAAGTAATCTAAAGATGACAAAGCTTTTAGGAGACGGGACATAGGTTATTCCAAACACTGTGCCATCTTATGTAAGGGGCTTGGCACCTTCGGATTTGGATTTCCAGAGCCCTGCAGGACAAAGAGTGGAAGGAAATGTAGATATTCTGTGGTGATTATTTTCTTCATAAATTCTTTTTCTGACTTTCCACAATGACCATCAACTTGTCTCATGGTTTTGAGAACCAAGAGAAGTTACCAAATGTGGACTCGCCTCTACATCCCATAAGATCTCAAGCGACCTTTAATTTTGACTTTAATTTGGTCTTTTGCAAACTGAAATGACCAGAACAGACAAAGAAAAAAATCCTACCATCTAAGGCAGTTCAATGATAGATACAAGTGAGACCATGTTAAGTATGGAAGTGAGCAGAAGCCCTGAGGAGCTCAGCTGCTCCAAGAATGGGATGGTCAAGTAAAAATAAAATTTGAAAGTACCACAGACACAAACACAAACCCTGCTATTCAAGGGAGACTCGGAGGTCATCAAATAACTGCCATGCCCCACTATTACTTTTTAAATCACATTAAAATTTTAACCAGCAGATCTTGTTAATATTGTGTCATGTTTTAAAATGACTAAGAAAACAAAATAACAACTGCAGTCTCTGCTCTATCAGGTCTTCAGTGGAGACTGAGGTTCTCTGACATAACCAGATGAACCAAAAAGTCTTTGCCTACAATATTTAAATGAACCAAAATCAAGTAAATATTCAGGCTAGTAGCTCACATCTCTAATCCCAACACTTGAAAGGCTGAAACAGGAGAACTTCCATGAGTTCAAGGCCTACAAGCAAACTCTAGATCACCTGAAGTTATAGTGTGAGACACTATTTCAAAACAGACACACATACCAATTCAAAACTTACAGTAAGTATAAGAACTGCTTCTTAGTTAAGTAAAGGAAAATAGTAACTACAACTAGTATGTAGGTAAAAGATAGTTTCTGACTTCACAGAGGGATTCAATAATTGTACTGGTTAATTTTTTTGTCAACATGACATAGACATAAACATAAACATGTGTAGGAAGAGGGAATTTTTTAAATTATTAGATTTTTTTAAAAAATATCAATCCAAGTTCCCACTCCCTCCTCTCCTCTCATTCCCTCCACACACCCTCCCACTCCACCCCCATCTAATCGTCAGAGAGAGTAAGGCACATTGCCTTGTGGAAAGTCAAGGCCCTCGCTACTATATCTAGGCTGAGCAAGGTATATGTTCAAAGAGAATAGGATCCCAAAAAGCCAGTACATGCAGCAAGGATAAATCCTGGTGCCACTGCCAGTGGCCCCTCAGTCTGCCCCAGTCATGCAAAGGAAGAGGGAATATTAATTAAGGAAATTCCTCCATAAGATTGGCCTGTAGACAAGTCTACCGGGAATTTTCTTGATTAGTGATTGACATAGGTAGACCCAGTCCAATGGGCACAGTGACACAGCTAGGCAGGTGGCCCTGGAGCGGGCTGAGCATGCTTTGAAAAGCAAGCCAATAAGCAGAATTCCTCCATGGCCTCTACATTAGCTTCTGCCTCCAGGTTCCTGTCCTGACTTCCCTCAGTGATGAACTCTGATGTTGAACTGTACTCTGTAGTGATATTTTGTTGTGTTTTAACAAGTAAAGCCTGCCTGAAGATCAGAGTGCTAAGCTAAGCCACTAGAGGCCAGGCAGTGGTGGCACACACCTTTAACCCCAGCGCTAGGCAGGTGGAGACGGGAGTGGTATGGCTGGGAGGAGAGAGGAATATAAGCGGAAGGAGACAGGAAACAGTTGCAGTCTGAGGATCGCCCCTCCAGTCAGAGGACAAATTCTGAGGAGACACTCTGGAAACAGGATCGCCCCCTTCAATCTCAGCACTAGTAGAATTAGAAGAACTCTCTGTCTGGCCGCTATGCTTCTCTGATCTTCAGCATTAATCCCTATATCTGACTCTGGGTTTTTATTATTAAGACCAACGAGAACTGGTGCTACAGTGATCTGAAATAAATCCTTTCCTCCCCAAGCTGCTTTTGGTCATGGTGTTTTATCACAGCAATAGAAACCCTCACAAGACAATAGTTTACTGGAAGAAGTTACAAACTGTGAAGGAAACTAAGAAAAACCTGTAACTTATAGTGTAGTTAAAAAGTCGCACGAGTCATGTATTAAGTAATATATACGAACCATGGATCAAGGAGCCATTTAGCCACTGAATATAGTAGTTTTGAGGAAAAGCAAGCAGGATTTCATTGCTGATGATTGAGAAGGGTAAAAGCAAAACAGCTCCAGCTGAAACCGCTAGAGTGAAGGTGCTCAGAAACAACCTGCAAGAGAGAAGAGACATCATCACTAGGGGTCTGGAAAGCAGTGAGCACGAGAGCAACACCAGTGTGTTACCTAAGATTCCCACTTCAGATACGCAGCTGAAGGACAAATGGCATGCGTAGGGTCTAGAAAGTGCAGCCAGGTGAAATCCATAACGAGATCTATATACTGAAGAGCCTACTGCACAAATTTAAGAAACTGGGCATTACTGTTGTTTGTGTGTATGTGAGAGTGCGCGCTATGCAGGGGAGGGATGATAGGGCATGCACGCAAGGTCAGAGGACAACTATGTGGAGTCTGTTTTCTCCTTCTACCTTTACACAGATTCCAATATTAAACTCAGGTCTCCAGGTTTACAAAGAAAGTACCTTGACACACACCCATCTCACCAGCCCCTGATATATGATTTAAACAAAGTTAAATTAGAGTAGTAAATAGCAGAGAGTAGTAAATAACACTAATCAATATTTCAAACACTACTTCAATACTTCCTAAATAATACATATGTAAAAATTAGGATCTAAAATAAATTAATTCAACAAAACAAACTGAAGAAAAATGCTAACAATAAATACAAAGCAGGCTCTCTATTCACACCAAGAAATGCTTACATAATATCAGGAAATGCGTTGTTCCAAAATCCATCATTATTTATAACAACCCAAGGACAGAGTGAAATCACAATGGGCTTTCACTTCCCAGTTACACATTTCTGAAAAGCTTTAAATTTTTATAACATCTAATTTTGAAAAAAGATTTTTAAAAAATAAATAGCAAGACAAAGGAAGGTAGATTTCTGTGAGTTAAAGCCAGCCTAGACTACATAGAGAGTTCCAGGTCAGCCAGGTCAACATAGTGAGACCCTGTCTCAGAAAAGAAGGAGAGGGGGAGAAGGAAGGAAGAAAGGAGGGGAGAAAGGGAGGTAAGAAAGAAGGGAAGGAGGAATGGAGGGGAGAAATGGGAAGGTGGAAGGGAGGAGGAAACCAGGCAGGCAGCAGACATAGCAGCAGTTAATAGCAAAGAAAACTTAATTAGCACTAAAGATAGAATTTGAGTATCCATAACACTGAAGCTAATATTGAAAGAATGTGAAAATAAATGTGAGAATTTTTTTAAATGTCATAGTAATAAGACCCATGTTGGCACATACTTTTAATCCCAGCATTCAGGAGGCAGAGGCAAGCAGATATCTGAGTTTGAGGCCAGCCTGGTCTACAGAGCGAGTTCCAGGACTACATGGAAAAACTGTCTTGAAAACAGCAAACAAAGAAAGTCATAATAAATGTTCCACCATGAGTAACCTTGCATTCAGTGCCATCCTGTAGCATACAGCAGAAATGACTGCCTACACAGCTACAAGTACCTATAAACCCCTGGGTTCAGTAAATCAAAGGCCAACGATATAATGTAGCTCAATGGAACACTCCAAACAAAACTCAACTCAGAAGATTCATGAATTAATCCAAAAAAATGAAGAGCACATTTCCTGAGAGAGTACTCAGAAAAGTTGCTCATCTGGAGTGAATGGCCAGATTCAGCCCAGTGAGGACACCATCACCCTGATTAGTATCATTCCCGCCAAGATCAAATCCAAATACTCACCACCCCAGGGCCTGCACAGCTCTCCCAATACTATAGGCCCCTCAGCAGGGCACATTTCAGTTTACACTTATTCCCTAACTGTTTTCTAACCCTCAATGGATTGTGTGGTTTCCAGGTCTCTGCCCACAGTGCTGGAGGCCATGGGAGTATACAGAAGGTGACAACTAGTGTTCAACAGGCCAATCTACCAGATGAGTGACTCTGACGGGGAGCCCCACTTGAAAAGGCAGGGGGGTCACTGGCTGAAGATAACTATTTCTGTCTATAATTGTCTCATGTGCCACAAAAAACAGCTATGGGTATTATTCCCACTGCTTGTGTGTTTATCTTGTGAAAATATTCTATCTACTGGGCACACATATAGTTGTAGATGGTCAGAAGGATAATTTCTGCTCAACTGCATAATTCTGATGAATAGAAATAATACTAGGATATTTTTTATTACTCAGACTGACAAAAGAAAATAATAGTATTCTCAGTCACTAAGACAGCTAGTTTTACAAATTCAAAACAAACTAGTTTCCCTGGAGATGAATATATGATTGCCCCTACAGACAAATATACAAGGTCAATTTCCCAGGTGTTTATTGCTGATTTATGACTTTAGTAGACATAACTTTCTCGGCAATTGACTTTCTGCACATACTCCCAACCTCAAGGCTCAGTCAACTAACTGTTTTATTGTTTAAGTCCTGAATTTCAATGTCACTTTCTGTCTGGGAACCCTGTTTACTTTACACACTAGCCGGTCAGCATGACCTCCCTAGCCTGAGAAAAACTGTGTGATCAGTTTGGCTCTGTTTCTTATTGTTTACTCAAGTAGTATTGTGACCCTGAAGATGTGATTCATAATTGTTCAGAGGTTTTGGAGAACAGCAGGAGACAGGTAGGGAGAAGTAGGAGGGAAGTGTGATGAAGAAGGGTGATGGAGAGAGACGTATGAAACAGAGAGAAGTGTTATGTCGCTGTATGTAAAGAGATGTAGATGTGTGGAGACAGAGAGATTTTCAGAAAGAGATTTTTCAAGATGAAATAAAAGAAAAAGTTACTATTAGAAAATGTGTGTTTCCTTATTTATTCCCTCAGATAGAAAAGTCTAGCCCTTGCCACCTTCATGGATTTTTTTATACCCTGAAGACAGCCTTGGAGTAGGATCCCCAAAAGGTCACCAGTACCACAGGTCGCTCTCTTTCTCTTGGGTGCCCATACAACACTCCACATGGCAGATGTACCTGAATAGCAAAACAGACCTCAAATGCCACTTGCTTGTCATGTGTCCCTCAATTCCTATCTTCTTGCTCCTCTCAGTAAAATCAGCTCCTCTTTCCTCTTACCCACCATAACACTGACCACACACTAGGCTAACATAACTTCCAAATCCAATTCTAGAACACATGACCTGCAAAAGGAGTTCACTTATGAGACAAAAGAGATAAATCATCAGGTCACAAGTGGCCCAGAAAATCCCGTATATATGTCTCCAATACTATAATGCTGCTTTTCAACAGCTATGGAGCCTCCACTTCACACTTTGTTACTGTGACAAACCTACCCAGAAAGCAGAAAACTACTTTTACTGTTTACGAGTTACTCATAAAAGGTTCATGTAGAGTTAAAACTGACAAAGAGTCCTTAAAATAAGGTCCTGAATTGGAAAAGTATAGTAGAGACATGGCTGGTGCAATCATAAAATACACCATTTCAGAAATGTCACCTTCTAAAATGCAGTAGTAAAGAAAGATTACACCTTCTATGATTATGGTAGTAGGAAAACAAAAATATTTTCTTGAATATGTCATTTGTGACTATCTCCTTAAACAAGAGGGTGTGTGAACTTACTTGGATGCTAAATGTTACCAGTGGCTCAGAATGCCATCGTCTACAGGCCACAGTAAATTATTTCAACAAGTCTGCCACACACGCTTCCAGGTGGCAAATGAGACAGGACCTCAAATGTTGAACCTTGTATATTTCAAGCAGATAAGTACTTCCTTCTTGAAATTCTACAACTTTTTCAGCATTCCCTCCTTTTTATCTGCACACTCTAAGAAATGCACCAACATGTCACCCTAAGTGTTTCTGGTTTGAATCGGAAATGTCCCCACAGGTTTATGCTTTGTGGCACCATTTAAAAACTGCTATATATCTCCATGAAGTAGGGCCTGGCTGGCAAAAATAGGTCACTAGGTTTCACCCATCGCTGGTTCCAGCCTGTATGTTTGCTCTATTCTCTGGTCCATCTGCAGGTAACAAAAAATTGACATACACTGCCAACACTGTGGACTGTGCAACTGCATAAAAATAAACTTTTCCTCCTTCAGTAGCTTCTGCCTAGTATTTTGTCACAGTGATGATAAAAGTAACTGTCTCAGCCTTTATCTGGCTAATCAATAAAGGCATGTTTTGTAAACTTGGGCCCCAAGTGCTCACTCTGGCCAATGGCTCTCAACCAGTGGAACTTCAGAACATATTACCATCAGGATCACTCACAAGCAACCACACACACACCACAGACTAACCCAGGAATCTCTTGGCGAAGCTCACTCACTAAATAGATATTAACAAACACTTGATTCTGAGTCAGCACTGTACCTGACATGTTAAAACAGTAAACAAGACATGTTTTGCCTTCACAGGGCTTCTAGTGAACCATCACTTAATGCTATGACAGCATCAGACAAAAAAACAATAAAATATTAACTGGGTAACTGCACAGTGTATCAAGGTGATGGGCACTACAGAAAATAAGCAAGTAAGGAAAACTGAAGTGGCAATGAAAAGACAAGTCAGACTCTGAACACAGAACCAACACGGCTCCTAACAAGAAGCTGGAGAGAGGAGTCAAAGGCAACTGAGAGGCTGGTGTCTCGTGATGTGCAGAAGACAGGCTGAACAGGGAAATGAGGACATCAGCCTTAGACAGGTGAAAGACTATTGCAAGCTGCTGCTCTCTAATTCTTTTCCCTGCAAGTCACAGATGACTTGGGGTTGCTGTCTCTCTACTGACCCTGTCTTCTTGGTCCTAGGTCAAGGTAGTGACTACCAGGATACTCTTCCTTTCAGTCAGTATTTTGTGGAAATCTAAGTTTGAAACTACAAGAGAAACCTGTTTGTTCTTATCAAACATCCAATCTACTGGTTTCTGTCAGGATGGGCAAAGATTGTCCTACTATATGGAGTGACTTCAAATCCAGTACAATAACTATTTATTTTGATGTTTAAATTGTCCCCAATTGGTGTGAGAACCTTTAAGGACTATTTCCTTAAAATATCCCAATAATTCTTACTTTTCTTACTTACTTTTTTTTTTTTGGAGCCTGTCCTGGCACTTGCTCTGTAGAGATCAGTTTACCTCTGCCTCCCAAGTGCTGGGATTAAAGGCATGTGCCATCACTGCCCAGCTAATTCTTACATTGTTATATTCTGTACAAAAATAAAATTAGCATTGGCCTTTCCCTATCCAGCCCTTCTATAATCCTCCTTCAAGGAATTCTGGCTCTACTGAGTGGGAAATTCTACTTAAACATGGCCTGGGCATTATTTGGAATTCCTGCTACTGGGAGACATCCTCAGGAGGCAAAGCAGAGACATACAATGTGCACTCTGTATGTACAAAAACATGGCCACACTCACTTCTTTACTACAGTTCTACATCTTGTAGGTGTTGAAAACCATGTGTTCACAATGGCACAACCCCAACTCCAAACCAACAACTCAGTGGTCATTTTTGTTTTCTCCTTTTTCCCTTAATTTTTGGTTCCTATTGACTTTAATTAAGCCTCCCCACCATTACAAGGAACCAATTTTCTACCATACTGATCCCAATTCTATACAGACACATACCTTCCTGTCTGGGTAGCTCCCCATTCTGGACTGAATGGTCCTGACACTCAAAACATCCTCCTTCCCCAAGTCTGCTCAAACACCCTTGGCAGGCTCCTCCCTTTGGCATGGACACCCTCTTTATCTGTGGTGACACTGACACTCTCACGGAGATCTTGCCACCCTTTGAGTTCCCTGAAACTGGAGTTAGGGATGGTTGTGAGGCCACCATGTGGGTGGCAGGACCCAAACCCATGTCCTCTGCAAGAGCAGTCAGTTCTCTTAACCACTAAGTCATCTCTTCAGGCCCAGATTTCACATTAAATAGGCAAAATCAAATAGAAAGAACTTAACTGTTTCCCATTTAATTTGATACTTCAAAAATTAAAGTACATTTCTATAATATCTCCTCCACATACATAAGGAACCTACAAAGCAATCAGACCCCTCTCTGCTCTCCGCAGGCAAGTGTCTCACTCTGAGCAAAAAGTCAAGAGTCTGCTCAGGACACAAATGGCTGATACTTTGACAGTTTTCCCTTTTTCTGAGTCTTGCTGTGTGGCCCAGGCTGTCCTCAGACTCTCAATCCTCCTGCCTCCACCTCTAGAATGCTAAGACTATAAGCCTGTGCCCACTATACCAAACTAGATTTTTCCTAAACAACCATTCTACCTTTAAACTCTTTTCCTTATTAAAAAAAAATCTCCTGAAGATGAAATCTGCCATTTCTTTAAATAAGCACTTAGAATATGATCTCATGTAGCCTAGGCTGCCCTTACTTACTATGTAGCTGAGGCTAGCCTTGAACTCCTGATCATCCCACCTTCCCCTTACCATTATTAGAATTACAGGTACGTACCACACTCAGCGGGAATAAACACATTTTAGCAAGAAACGATCAGTTCTAAAGTAACCATGTGTATTTGCTTACAGGTGCTTTTTAAGAATATTATTAATAAGGATTAGTACTTTAAGCAATTATTTCCTTTAGACTCTAACTTCAAAACTATAAACAGAACAATTAAATTTTGGAATACTATGGTGGTTTGAAAGAAAGTGGCCCCCAAAGGGAGTGTCACTGTTAGGAGGTGTGGACTTGCTGGAAAAAGTCTGTCAGTGCGAGGGCGGGCTTTGAGGTCGACCTCCTGCTGCCTCTGAGTAAAGATGTAGGATTCTCAACTCCAGTACCACATCTGCCTGATGCCGTCATGATCCCCATCCTGATGATGATGTATTGAATCTCTGAAACTGTAAGCGAGCCACCTCACTTAAATATTTTTATTTATAAGAGTTACTGTGGTCATGGTGTCTCTTCACAGCAATAGCAAACCTAACACACAAATACATACGATATCCTGTTGACTACAGCATCCTCATCTTCTTGTTCATCTGCAAAAAAAAAAAATGTTTATATAGTGTTACTATTTTATCTCCAAAGTATTTTATGAATTTATCTTTAAAAAGTACCAAAAATAGAAAGCTTAAAAATTCAACTACTAAATGAAAAAGTCTTTCAAAGAGCATTTTGTAAACTTCAACAAAGACCCAAATATAAATTTCGTTATAACATGTTAAGTGGGCATAATTAAAAAGTGAGTTGTGACCCTTTTTTGAAAAATGTTGATTAACTGACACAAATGTTGACTAACTGTTTGTAAATTAAAATCTTACAAACACACAGTCTCAAAAAATAAAACTTAGAACCACAGGATGATTGTGAAACACATGTACACAATGTCAAGATAAACAGCCAATAGACATCTCTATTATAAAATGTCATATTCTTAGAACTCACACTTTTCTTAAATTCAAATTTTCATTAGTAAATGAAATGCTAATACTTTCTTAAACTATTCTAAACTACCTTGGATAGCATCACCTCAATAATTTGAAAGCACTGTCCAAGTTACAGACAGAAAAAAAAATATCATTTTCTGTATTTCTTTAAATACCAGGCAGACTTCATTAGGATACCTTCCGTTCCCCTTTTCATCTCTCAGGCCCCTCAGTCACCATCTCTTTTGTCCTTGATCATAAACTTACCAGCCAAAAAGACTGCCTAAGAACACAAATATTGCAAAACCCTCCCAGTTCTTCTAGCTCCTCATCTGTCTCATGTTCTGAAAGGCTCTCCTTGGATCTCTGAACCTCTGGGAGCTCACTTGCCTCAGTGTCAGTTGTGAGTTTTGGCCATTCTTTGTAGGGTCTATCATGAATTACAGACTTCCCAAAATAACCACAGTCAAAGGCACCACAAAATCACACCCCCGATTAATTTTTTTTAGCATATTTTTTATTGCGAAAAGAAGAAAAAAAAACATAAACAAAAAACAAGTTTCCACCTCCTCCCAGCCTCCCATTTCCCTTCCCCTCCTCCCACCCTTCTCCTCCTCCTCCCACCCTTCTCCCCCTCCTCCCACCCTTCTCCCCCTCCCCCCACTCCTCTCTCCCTCCCTCTCCAGTCCACAGAGCAGTCCGGGTTCCCTGCCCTGTGTTAAGTCCTAGGTCCTCCCCCCTCCGTCCATATCTAGGAAGGTGAACATCCAAACTGGCTAGGCTCCCACAAAGCCAGCACATTAAGTAGGATCAAAACCCCCTGCCATTGTCCTTGGTGTCTCATCAGCCCGATTAATTTTTATCCTGACACTCCTACACCCAACTCATCACCAAGTCTAGAGAAAAGGTTAACTACCTCCTTATACATGCCCATTCTATTCCACCATCAAGGTCTACAGTCTTTCTCGATCCCCAAAACTACTGTGTTAAGATCTTCTAAGTCTAAAGTTTTCCTGTGCATCATCCTTAATTTCCCCTTAAACAATGTATTTATGTTTTTCTCTCAAACCCTCTCCTTTCTCCTATGTGTGTAATCTTTGAAGCCATGTGACCAAGTATCTTTAAAACAACTGAGGCACTATCTTGAATCTGCAGACATTTCAAATTTTTGGCAGATTACATGATCCAAAGAACATTTCCAAACAGTCACAGAGCCAGGGGACAACTCTAAAACAGCATACTGCAACATATTGCTGTTTGATGAGTTTTAAACTGGTAATATTTTAATCAAAGAATCTTTACTACATGAAACCTTTAAGCATCATACATCTTCAACCATCAGCCCAGCACCACAGGTAGAAAATATTATGATTTTTTTAAAAAAAGCTGAGAATTAGCAAAAGGCAACAAGGCATATGCTAGGAAACATATAAAACTCTGACCAAAAAATGTGTGAGTTGATCAGTCTATTAAAAAATGAGGACTACTGAGAAGTCAAGAACAATGGCAATGGGTTTTTGATCCTATTGCACGTACTGGCTTGGTGGGAGCCTAGGCAGTTTGGATGCTCACCTTACTAGACCTGGATGGAGGTGGGTGGTCCTTGGACTTCCCACAGGGCAGGGAACCCTGATTGCTCTTTGGGCTGATGAGGGAGGGGGACTTGATTGGGGGAGGGGGCAGGGAAGAGACAGAAATCTTTAATAAATAAATTTTAAAAAACAGAAAAAATATAAAGACATGAAAAACACAAAAATGATTAACTCAGGACAAAATGAAATAATACAAGGATGCTATATGATTAAAAAATCAGTACAATTACTGATATTGTAAATTCTACACTGCTTTGGAAAAGGAAAACAGGGTCTGGAGAGATGGCTCAACAGTTAAGAGCACTTGCTGGTCTTGCAGAGGACCCAGGTTTGATTCTCAGCAATTATATGGAGGCTCATAGCTATCTGTAACTCTAGCTCCTGGGGATCCAACACCCTCTTCTGGCCTCTGCAGACATGAGGCATGAATACAGTGCACAAATACACATGCAGGCAAAACCCGTAGCACAAAAAGAGTAACTAAGAAAGCACATCTATCTTAAAAGAGAGACAGAGACAGAAAGAGGCAGAAAGAAACGATGAGACAATTCTATAGTGAGAAAATGAAGGGGCTGGGGTGAATAGGATGTTCAATTAGAATCAGCCACAAGGAACCAAACACCCTCATAAACTCTGGATTTCCCAAGTAGTAAATAGCCAACACTATTCTTAGCTGGACATGAGAATTGTGATAAGCAAGGACTCTGGTCTAGTAAGGTGACTCTGAACATAGTCAGGTTCCCTAGGGGTTATTTTTAGTGTTCTTAGTACCAGGCAACTGTTTACTTCAGTCACCAGCATATTCAGCATGGCTAAACTGCAGTGTGTGGGTGGAGCCCGCTTACCACTCCACATATCCAGCTCTGATGAAAGCTGTAACAAAAACGTTTCTACTTGCCTGATTTTCTCTTGTATCTTGTAATGATGAAGTAGGAAACGATGTAGAGGATGGCAAAAAGAAGAAAACATATCTGAAATGAAATTTAACAGGTCATTTACATTTTTTGCCTGTCATTTTTATTTTTTAAAGAAAGGTTTAATCTTTGGTATCTAAAGAAAATGAAGGATCAAATTACTGAAAAGTGAAACTTTTGGACATTTCACAAATGTAATGTTTTAATTAAAAATATTAATGTATGTGAACTGGTAAATTCTGAAGATCTGCAGTATTCTAGTTTAATACTATTTTTTGAGAAAGCCCACTGGGAAGTTTCTCTTTTCATAACTTGATCAAATGTTTTTCAAAGTCATGTGGAAATGTAAAAAGCCAAACCATCATCAACAATTCTGGAAACTGAAATCAATGAACACACATCGGCCTCCTGAAGAGCAAGGCATGCTAAGAGCTTCAATAATATGTAAAGGATGTGTTGGTAACACAACCTGACAATCACATGAAGCTTTAACATAAAAGAAGCATTATAGCTCGACGTGGATAAAAATAACTGATCAATAAATACACCACGTATCAAAATTAAAATTCTTTATTCAGCTGTGGTTTAATTCTTAAAGATAAATTCCATTCACTTTGTCTAATAAAAACTGTATGGTAGTTAATATGACCTGAGGTTCTGCTACCCATGCACAGCAGTGCCCTCCCCCACTGTGCTAATAAAGGGAGAGGCTTATAGGCTTACCATCTACACTGATTAGAACTTACAATGTACTCTCAGGGTTTTTAACATACAGTGCACTGTTCTTCACCACATCACTACGTCACACAGCAAACCTAATAAGCTCACTCTTATGAACTTTGGCATCCACTGGCCACACCTCAACATGGCAGTTCCCTTTCTGGTCCCTGAACTATTATTCTACTCTCTATGTCTATGAGCTCAAATTGTTTAGATCCCATGTACAAATGAAATTATTTGGTACCTGTTTTTCTAGATACACAGACTTCACTTGGCAGAATATCCCCAGATAATCCCTTGCTGTCACAAATGGCACAGTTTCCTTCAGGCTAAATGGTACATGTAAGGATTACCACATTTTCTTTACCCATTCACCTACTGACACACACCATCAGTCATCTCTGTAACCTGACATGGTGAAGAACCCTGAGCAGTGTCTCTCATAAATCAATTCATTTCTTTTTAATGTGAATCCATAATGGAAGACCTGGAAATTTTGCTTTGCATTCTGGAGAGCACACCATGTTGTTCTGGTGCCAGTGATACCCAAGGCTTCCTTTTTTTTCCATTTCCAAATCCTCAACAGCACTTCCCTCTTGCTCTTTGGAAACAGCCATTCCAACAGGTATGAGGTGAGTCTTTCTTTCCATTCTCTATGTCAAAGGATGCTAAGTACATTTTCTTATACCTGTTGTCCATTTGTATGTCTTCTTTTAAGAAATGTACTTTGCCCATTTTTATTAGAACCATTATGCTTACATTGCATTCCTTTTATCAGAGCTGGGGTGACAAAAGGGTAAACAGGGAAGGTCAAGAAACAGGATATCCATCAAGACCAAATGCTAAAAATAAAGCCTCAGTCAAGCTTATGGAGCATGTGGGAAAATATGAAGACTTCCAGAGTGTTGAAATCGAGGGGGTACCCTGAGCATGGACCTCTCAGGATAAGTTGATGGGATATGATAACAAAGACTTTGGACCTGGGTGGTTGTCACCTCTGTAATGACACCACTTAGAAAACAGCAATGAAAATGAGTGTCAGTATTCTCAGTGTTAGTGAGAATCCAGGCATCCGTATTGGTCTGCCCTTAGAGTACTGACAGGATACTACATCCTCAGCTGCAGCTACCAAGAATACCACCTGTGCACACTTGCTATGTTCCCTTATAAAATGCAGGCCTTGCCCACCTCCGTCTCTTTCTCTTCCACCACTCTTGCCCTCAGGGACCAGTGTCTGCTTCCCTCTCTGTCCACTTCTCTGCCCCCTTCTCTATCCTCTTCCAATAAACCTCCCATGTGAGCCCTGCTGCACGGCATGACTCCTTCCCACAATTTTTAAATAAATTATAACATTAGTGCTGTGACCCTGGCAGGCTCTCCGGGCACTTCCTCTTGCCCAGCAGCAGTCTGAGGCTTGCCAGGACCCTGGAGCCCAGTCCACGTATGACAGCCTCACTTCTCCACCTAAGGGATGGCAGGGTCCCTCCACTGAACACTGGCATGTAAGCCCCCTTCTCTGGCCATTCCCCACAAGTGAGTATTCATCTCTTGACCATGATTTCTCACCTCTTCAACAAGCCCTGATATCAGGCAATCACATCTCTTGGAACTCAGCAGACATGGCCCCTGTGCCTCCTCAAATCCAATCCTCTCTGGATTCCTGGGAAGGTAGGAATTGTAGACCCTTGGATCTTACTTCTCTACTTCACTCATGGGAACTATGTCTTCCACTATATCTCCGTGGAATGCCTTTAGAAAACCTCAGACTTTTGTCATATCTAGCCCAAATACCCCTTAAATATTAATCCAAATGGCTGCTTCCCAGCACCCTATATCCCAGTATTTTATAGGACCTTTACAACATTCTGCCAGTGATCTGATAGCTGGGAGGGAGTTCCCCATTTTCAAACCCTCTCTCTGTTCTCTCTTCCTGTTCCCCTACTCAGTTGCTGCTAATTATAAATCCTATTAAACTACATTTGCCCCTTTTCATTAAGTGAACTCTCTCAAATAGAGAAAAAACTGGGGTTTTATATGTATAACTCTGCTTCTTTCATTTACGAATTCCAATATTATTTTCCACAGCAACAGCCTGCCTCTGCTGCCAAAGTAGTTACATGTCACTAGGTACCTTTCAGCCATCAGCTATGTGACATGTGCACCCTTTAGAAGTGTCCGCGAGGCAGAGTTCATTCTCTTTGCCTCATCTCTTGCCTTTTACTCCTTTCTTTGTCTCTAATTTCCTCCCTTGCCCCCTTTTTTCTCTCATGCTTCTCTTCCTCTTGTCTGTCTGCCTCTCTCAAGTCCCCACTTCAACGCAGCCTTTCATGCTTTCACTCTCCCCCTCCCGATAAACCTCTTGCACTAACTCTGTTGCATGTGGTGAGTTTGCTTAGTGGCATACCGGGCAGGGCCCGCCAGAGGTAGCCACTTCACGCTAGGAGCCTACCGGCCTGCTCCACCTGCAGCAGATCCACTCTCTTCCACTTGTAACAAATCTGCTTTCTTGTTCACCCACAGCTTTGCCTTTCTATTCAATACCAACAACTGGATCTTTGGAGGGGCTCCCTGCCTCTGACCATTCCCCTGGATATGAAGCTTCATTTCTTGATCACAGTGCACTCCTTGCCTTCTGCCTTTTCTCGAAGTCCTGGTACCAGGCAACTGTGTCTCTCTTGGGTTCAGAGCCCTTGGCCCTGTGCTTGTATAATGACATATTGAACAGCTTGTGTCTACTCAATCTGATTCTCCCTGAATCCCTGGATCTGTCTCATCCTTGGGAACTGTGTCATAAACATCCTCGCTTTTAAGATCCACTGACTACTCCTTTCAAATCAAATCTGGCCTCAGTATTCTTTGGACCAGGCAGTCATGAAACAGAGAAAAAAAATTCTCCACTTTCTTCCTTTTTCTTTGCTCCAAAACCTGCTTGTGTCTGTCTGCTCTCCCTTTCTATATGCCCTGTCTGTTTGTGGCAACGTGCAGGTTAGATGGAGTTTCCTAACACTCAGTACACACCAATTGGTTCTTCCTTTCTTTTTATTTACCCAACTCTTGTTTAGTATTGTGTATGTGTGTGTGTATTTGTGTGTGAATGCATGTGACTTTATTTAACCCTTTATGTGTAAATGTAAACTGGGTTTAATTTTGCATGTATGTGTATGTAACTTGGATTCAGTTCTGTGTATATGTGCATGTAACTATTGGTTAAAAAAAAAACATGTTTTAAACAGTAACCACGTGGCTCTCCTCCATCTTAGCTGGTGACATATAATGATGTAAGCAGCTGCATGGCTGGCAGCCATCTTTTACTAAGGTTAAACAGTATACTTATTAGTCATAATGAACTCTCTGTTCATTTTATCTCCTTTTAGACTAAGAAATGCAACAAGTCTCAAATATTTTGAGTTGGTATAAACTGTATGAATGATGATAGAAATGTAAAGTTAAATGTGATTCAACTCTGGTTTAGAATATACCCTATATCATGATAAAAAAAAAATTAAGGCTATAAAGGTCTATTCAGATTAACAAAAGCTGACTTAGAGATTTACACCTAAGTACTTACATCTTTGCCACTTGGCAAATACCAAGCTTCTAGAGAATTTAAATAAGTGATGTCATATGTTTGATAAATAAGTTATTTAATAAACAAGATAAATATTCTATAATGGAATTTCTGCCCCCCCCCAAGAGGGTCCTTTTCCCAGAGGAACGTAAATATTCAGGCATTTGTACTGGTCTGCCCTTATGGTCCTGACAGGACACTGGAAAGGCTGAGTTGCCAAGTCCGAGTCAGGGAAGATTACAAAAGGAATGATCCCGAGGAGGACCAGGTTCTGCTGAGTTTGAGGTATACACTATGAAGGTGGAAAGCTGAGTGAGTAGGTCTGTATATATAAATACATACACTGTTCAGAGGAAATGCTAGGTTACAAGCTTAAAAAATAAAAAATAATCAGCAGAGGACACAAAATGTCCTAAGGCTAAGATGCAAAAGCAGGCAGAGAAGTCTAAAAGCAAAGTGTAACTCTCAGATGTTCGGCATCGGTGAAGAGGCTGCCAGACAAGCAGTTAGCAAGGGTTGGGCACCAAGGGCCTGCACATCTCCTGACCCACAGGAAGGAAAAAGGAATTTGCAACAGTGTCAAATACTGCTGACAGGCCAAGCAAGATGAGAAAAGGGGATTGACAACTGGATTTGGTGCCACGGAAGTCACCGCAACCTTGACAAGAACTGTTTTTCTGGAGTAGTGGAGACAAAAGCCCAGCTAACGTGGATTCCAGGAAGAGCTGGAAAGAGAAGTGCAAGCAGAAAGAAATGCACTGGAGTTCTT